AACCATTCTCAAATATTTACTAAGCAGAACACCCCAAACCAGGACCTCCAGAGACCTGTGGTGGAAATATTAAATCCCAGGGCCGCTCCTATTACATTGCAACAATGCTTCGGAGCCACAAGTGACCCTTACATCCTTACGTCACCAGGCAGCCCACCTTCTACGTGCCACCAACCAAGTGATGATCGTGCTACCCTGTTAGAGATGCGGTTGCATCTGAACACCACACTACACGTGAGCAAGTGCAGGTCTGCTTTAGAGATGAGCCGGCAGCTCTCATTAAAACGATAATAAAGTATTGTTTCTGAGGAATAAGAAGAGCCAGGCTTTCTAGTCAGGCTCAATTCGAATCCCATTAACTCAGCCGTGCCCATCCTCAGTCCCAATTCTCTGCTTAGGTAACAACAGGATTGGAAAATAAGAGTATACCGTTATAAATCTGGGCATTTCTAGGACTCCAGAGGCTGAGGCAGGAGAATTGCTCTGACTTTGCAGTCAGTCTGTTGTAGAGAGTAAATTTTGAGCTAGCCTGAGATAGAGTGAGACTCTGTTTCAAAAATAAAACACCCAACAACAATGACAACAAAAGACTAAAAAGGAATAAATAGCATGTAAGAGCCACGTGAACTAATTAAAATATATCAGAGACAATAAAACTCTCTGAACAGTGCTTCCCTTTCTCTATCCATCCTTGTCTTTTTATTCCTCCTTCCTTTTTCTCCCCCCCTCCTGCAAACAAGTGTTCAGAACCAATGGTGGCCCGAGCAGGCGTTTGAATGTATATATGGCTGTGCACCGTGTGTGAGCCTGGTGCCTGCCGAGGCCAGAAGAGGTCGCCTGATGCTATGAAACTGGAGGCATAGACCATCGTGAGCTGCCATGTGGGTGCTGGGAAACAAATCCAGGTCCTCTGGAAGAGCAGCCAGCGCTCTTAACCACTCAGCCATCTCTCCAGCCCAATAAAAACTTTAAAAGCAAGATAACAAGTGCTCTTTTGTAAATAAAAAAATCCCCTTCCTTAAATGTTAGATGGTATGATAAAGTCAACAAAGAGTGTGGTAAGTTAGAATATTTGCCAACAGGTAGATTATACAGCTAGTAATGGGTAACATTTCACAATCTAGTTACCTTAACTACTGGGTCTTCAGTGGTCAACTGCAGTAAAGTTTGGACATTATGATATAGAGATACATATATAGGTATATGTCTGTATATACATATATGTGCATGTATGTACAGAGATGTATATTAAATATACATGAATAAAATATGCAAAATATGAAACTTATATACATATATTCAACTATACATGAATAAAAATATGCAAAATATGAAACTTATATACATACATTCAACTTTCCAAACTTGTTAGTGAAATATGCAAAACTGAGCCAGGCATTTCGGCATGGTGGTGACACCTATAAGCACTCGGAAGTAACAGTGGAAGTCTCAAGAGTCAAGGTCATTCTTGGCTACATAGTGAGTTCAGGAACATCCTGGGATACATGAGATCCTGCCTCATAAGCGTGTGTAGTCGATATCTCCACAAATATCCCTTCCTGGAATGTTGTAGTCATCAGTACAAGACAGAAAGGCTAGGGATGACTGAAGAAGCCAGGACGGGCTGACACAGGGGGCTCTGTGAGAGCGGGACGCTTCACGTTGGTGTGGAGCAAACATGTGGCACAAAACTGGCATTTTAAATGTAGTCTCAGGACAGCCTGGGCCTTGCCAGAGAGACATTGTCTGTTACAGAGAAGGACACTGACTCCCAGGGAGCAGCCAAGGAGCAGAATCACAGTTGAAGAATGATTCCCGTGGCTCAGGCCCAGGCCTTCACACTGATTGTTACTGGCATTCGCTCTCCTGTGTCAGCTCTGCTTCCTGAGTGTCCCTGGATGCCAGGACCGCTCAAAACAAACACATCAAGACACAAAGGCTGCCACGCCCCCTCCACGTTCAAAGCAGGCAGGGTGTCTCTGTGCTCATTCAAACCCTGGGAACACGCAGACCTGTGCTGGAGTACCTGCCACCAGCTCTGTAGCTAACCCAGTTCCTCCCCTACGTGAAGTTCTGCCCCGTGGCTTTGGTTCCGAGACTAAAATCTCCTGACTGGCAAACAGGACCAGGACCCAAAGTCAGCTGCCCATTTAACAATGAACAAAGGCTATGGCGTGCCTGCTACCTGTGCATTCCAGAGGAAAGCCTGCCCCAGCTTCTCCAAAGGAGCCCCAGGACATCCCCCAGTCAGCCAAGGAGCCACTGAGAGACATAAATACAGTCATTGTGGAGACAGACCCAGCACAAAGAAGAAAAATCCAAACAGGCCGAGATTCCCTCTTTCTCTCCCTCCTCCCCTCTGTCTGTCTGTCTTCCTCCCCCCCTCCTCCCCCTCTGCCTCTCTCTGGCTCGTTCTCTTCAATCATGACATGACACAACATTAACCCTGCTGCTGCAAAGAACGAGACTTCATTCTCTTCTCAAGTAGGTAGGAAAGGAGAGCCACCATGGCTAACCGTGATTCCTACATGGAGCAGGGCCTGGTCCTTGTTCTTCCCTGTCGATGATGGTGTTTCAGATACACAGTCCACTCAACATTATGTGCCAGGCAAATCCATGCCACACACACACACACACACACACATACACAGGCATACGCATGCACACATCAAAGAAGAAAAGCAGGGTAGGTTCCATGAGTATGTCTGTGTGGCCTCATGGGGTCCCTTGTTCAAAGAACCCCATGTTTGCCCAAGTACTCTGATATCACCACGTTGGAATTCTTCATCAGTTTTGAGCATCTCTTGGTAATGAGTCCTGAAAATGGTGTGGCAAATCTTGCCAGCAAAAGCAGCAGGTATGCTTTCTCAAACCCACACAAGAGCAGGGTAAGGAGACTGGGAATGCCTGTTCTCTGCCCAAGCAGAGGGCCTGAGCAGGACGGTGCATGCTGAAACCAGGTGTCCTTGCCTATAATAAACACTATGAGAGTCATGGTCATTCTTCTCTGTAGATAACAAAAGAAGGTCTATAAACCGGCTGGCATGTAGCCATGTTCTAAAAGTGCCAGTCCGTCTCCTGGCTTGTTTCAAATACTTCAATACAGACCATGTCAGGCTGGCAAGATTGTTCAGTGCAGTAAAGACACCTGCCACCGAGACCGGCGGCCTGAGTTTGGCCCCAGGACTTTCATGGTGGAAGGATAGAACACTACAAGTCATCTTCTGGCCTCCACACAGACACTCGTGTGCACACACCCACAAATACAAACAAAATCAATTAATTAATACATAAATAAATATAAAACTACTTTAAAGAAATTGTTTTTTTTAAAAAAAAAAAAAAAAGCTGATGAACCATGCCTTCATAATCCAAAATAAGATGAGGGGTGGCCCAAGGACTCCTTTGACTCTCAGAACCTAGGATTCTCCATTCATGTCAGACTACAGACTTGGTAAAGACACTTAGGATCACCAGGGCAGAAACCCAACTCATATTTTCTTGGTCAAAATGTGAAGTCTATAGTTGTCAGTAATGAAACAGAAGTCAAGGATCCAGGCACTGCCATGCTGGGGATATTTTCCCCCCTGCCCTTTTCCTCCTCCTCCTTCAGCCAGGCTCCTGTCTCCTCATTAGCTCTTGCTCTCATCTTCTCCCTTCTCCCCCACACTTTCTGTCTGGGGTAGGCAGTGGGCAAAATGGCCACCAAAACAGTTGTAAATTAAGAGTCCCTCAACTCCACAGGGCCAGTTGAGAGTCTCATTCCCCTCTCTGAATATTAGTCAAGGGGAAGGCTGATTCTGTATGAACTGTAATCTCAGTCCTGAAATAGTCAGAGTGCCAAGGCAGGTGTCCACATGCTGACCGACAATGACGATGACCAGGCCTCGTGACTGTCAACCCCGTTTGGGACATGGAGAATAGGGGTGGGGCAATCCACCTGAGAAATGGTGATGCTAAGCAGATAAATATCACACGCCCATGGTCCCGTGGTCAGTTTGCTCTTCGTTTCCTCTGCACAAGGAGCCAAAGTGGAGCGAAGGTGGCGTGGCCCCTGTCCCCTAAGCCACCTACACTGAAGGAAACACATGGGTGCCTCACAGAGTGAGGAAAGGCAACGGCTGAGAGAGCTCAGGTGTACGCAAGGTTATTAGCACAGAATGGCGACCTCACCCACCTTTACAATTTTAATCGTCATCTGTTTACGTTCATGGTACCTGTCATTTATGCAAATGGTATTTGTTTTCCAGGTTACTGCTCATGAAAGTGCCTTTTTAAAAATAGCTAAATCAAAACAAAGTCTGTTGGTTGAGTGAAGACCTTCACACTCACAGCCTTGTTATTATTATGCAAATAATAAGGATATTGGCATAAATAAAAGAACACATCAGTGCATGCTGTAACTCCAAAGACTGAAATACCAGACAAAGCTCAATATACAAACAGGACTTTTCTCTCCCAAGAGAACTAAAAAAACTATAATTACTCTCTTGTCGGTTCCCATATAGAGTCTCTGAGAAACTTAATGATGTTCTTCCTGTGTGGGTGGCACCAATCCAGGCCAGCAAAAGAATCTGTAATAAGATTTCCTCAGCTTTGGCCAGGAAAGCCTGTTTCCTGGATGTCCTTGGCATATCTGTCACGGTGGACAGATTCTCCAGGGACACTGGCCCGCGGTGTCAGGGTTTGTTTGAGAGAAAAGGACACCCAAAGATGGGCTGATATGAAAATCACTCACCATAGAGTTGGCCAGAGCAATTATTATTGGGCACAAAGGGGACCCTTCTCCCACGATCACCCAAGGCCAGCTGCCCCAAGGAACGCTAGCCATCTCTCTGGGGCCAAAGCTTTCCCAAGTTGATTTCAATAACAATCCACTTGTAGAGTTGGCATTTGTCCTTTGTTTGGTTGGCGACGATGTCTTCTAGTTGAACATCAATTCCAGCAAAATTAATTAAAGAATGTCTGCATTGTCCCTTTTTTGATTATTTCCTCTCCAGGCCAAAGAGAAAATCCATCAGGGTTTTGATGCAGACCGAGATGCCAAAACGCTGTACAAAGCCTGCAAAGGAATGGGTATGAAATAATTTTTTTCATTTATTTGTCTTTGAAATTGATTAAACTTGATGTCATGACCAACGTTCCCATAGCGACAGGAGGTGACCTACCTCTCATAAGCATTCTAAGCTAATTTAAGTTGATCTCTTCCAATGAGGTCTCAGAGTTATACTAGGGGCTCATTGCTTTTTAGGGTATTGGAAGCTAAATCTTGTGACATTTAATTTGACCTTGAAGTCATGGGGAACTTGTTTAGGAGTCAAGCTTATGCTATCTTCATCTTGTCTCATTCACTTTGGCCTTTTCCGTGGGAGGTCATGAGGAATCAGCTCTGATAAGAGCTGGATTCAGGGCCAGGAAGATGCATCTAGAAGTGACAGCCCTGCTGGGCAGTGACAGCTTGGGGAAATCAGAGAAAGCGTAGAGGCGGTGGTTTCCTGCTTACGTACAGCTGTGGTTAATCTCTATTCTCACGTCCAGCAGACAGCATGGAAGACTCGGGGTGTTTACGCCTGAGGTTTACTACATGGAAGGGAACCCCGGGGTACTTTCCAGGCAGCTGAGACTTCCATGATGCTCTGTGGGGAAGGCCAGATGCCTGGCCAGGGGTTAGAGACGGGAGTATGTTATTGGCTATGGTGATGATGCAGCATGTTCAACATGAACTCTTCCGTTCTCACCTAGAGTTCATTCTAGAACATCCGGGCTGAGCATTTACTGAATGCCAAAATCAGAGTTCTCTTGCGACTCAGAATGGAGCCAAAGGGCCTCTTACCGTGTAGAGAGCCTGTGTGAGCACTGCCCAGCTCAACGTCACCTGTCCATCATCACCTTGTTTAGCCACCATGCCCAGCTTCACTTTAATTTTTTAAGAAGCCAAATTTTAAAAGAAAAAAAAATACAAGATGTATTATTTTGATGATTTAGTTCCATTGGTCCCAATTTATATAAAAATATCATTTATCCTAGTATTGACAAAATTATGAATGAGGTATTTTAGATTCTGTTTTGTTTGTTTCTTTCTTTGTTGTTTTGTACTAAGTCGCTGAAATTTGGCATGTACTCTGTACTTATGGAATATTTTGATTTGCATCAATCACCCTTCAAGTACTAAATAGCCATGACTGGTCGATTAGTAGCTGCTGGGTTGAATGGAAGGGCCAGAAGCCCCAAATGTAGCAAAGATTACAGGCACTCTCACCTAGGCAAGTCAGAATTATAATAGTCGGTGATAAAATGATGGGCTGGAGTAATGGCCCAGTGGTTAAGATCACCCCTTGCTCTTCCAAAGTCCTGAGTTCAATTCCCAGAAACCACATGGTGACTCACAACATCTGTAATGAGATCTTATGCCCTCTTGAGGAAGAGACCTGGTCAGTCATTCTCATTAACTTAGACCATGAAACCCAATGGGCAAGTTCAACAGAACCACCATATACGGGCTGCCATTGCATGTTTCAGCATTTCCAGGGCATAAATTTCATTTTTCATTTCATGATAAAATGATAGTTTATTTCTCCAAATGAGGCAAAACTTAGGTTACAGTTTGGGGTCTTTTTGCTCTCCTGGTGTCTTACGATGATGCCCTAAGTATGTGGACAATCTAGGTCATGGGCAACCCAAAACGGTCCCCAACCTCTCCCTAACACTGGCTCTCCTTTTCGGCCTGGGCGCCAATGCTGCCCCTCTCCCAGTTCTTCGGCACCACAGCCTCCACCAGGTTCTACTTAAACTAACCCTTTACAGTGTCATCACCATCAGCCAATGCCACCAAGGGAACGCCTTAATGCACAGTACATGGGCCAGCAGGACCAGCGGCCTCTTAGATAACAAAGTCACCGGAGATGGTGTATGCTGGCTCCTCAGATGTCCAAAGGCATGCTAGTCATCAAGGGGTCTTTGAGAGACACAGAGAAGGAGGGGACTGTCCATTTTGCATCTCCAATAGCTCTCAGTAAGAAGACTGCAGAGCCTGGGACCACACCTTTGGGGTCAAGCTCGTGTCTGCTGAGGTGCACAGAGGTCAAAATACTCAACCACTCCAGAGCATGCATATGGCCTAGAACTCAGGTCCTAACCTTCAGCCCAGCACTTTTCTCCTCACAATCAGTATGTGTTGTGTACAGCACCCCATTGGCCCTCATTACATGGTAAATTAAGCCTCTCCTTAACAGTGTGCTCAGATCCAATTAGGTCAGCCTGTGTATTAAGCAGGCCCAACCTGTTCTCCATCACAAAAGGTTGAATGGAGGCCTCTAGAAGGTTTAGGCCCCCAGAATCTGGGAGAATGGCCTTGTCCTTATTTGGAAAAGGGATCTTCGTAGATGTGATTGAGTTAAGGATGCTAGGAAGAGGGCAACCTAGGTGGGTTCTAAATCCAGTGATGGGTGCCTTTAAGAAAGACAAGAGAAAGATGGTGGTAGCCAGGTTGGGGACATGGGAAGACAGATAGAGACTGTTCTCGTGTAATCACAGGTCAAAGAACACCAAGAAGCTGGGAGAACAGGGACTATGACCTATCAGTACAGTGACTTAAGATTTCCAGCATCCAGAACTTATAGGGGCGCAAGTCATGTCCTTTGAAGCCATTGAATTTGTGGTCATTGACACAATAACCTCTAGAAATGAATGTAGGGAACAAATGCCAGCTGGTAGTCCCCTCCTGCAGACAGGATCCAGGCCCACCCATCCCTTCTCTTGCCTTCCCTGTTGCACCCCCCAACCCCACCCCATGTGAGATTGTGAAGCCTTGCCTCAAGCTCCAGATCTAGGAACACAGCTTTCTGGGGTCAACCAGGTCAGTGTGGGCTGGAGCTTCTGCTGCTAGTTTAGCCTTGTTTATCTGCCACACGGAACCTTGTGGCCTTCAAACACTGTGGCTCCCTCCTGCCAAATCTCCATACCATCCAGTTACTCTCCAGAAAATTGCTGGGGAAGCATACCACAGATGCCCCCGAGTGCTTCCAGGCTGGTGATCACTTTGGCTCTGACAGAGCGCTGTAATTACTCCCCTCCAGGATCTGAAGTACAGCCAGCACGGAGGGTCTTTGTTTTGTTTTGTGTTTGTTCAGTTTTAAAGCCTTTCCCAGAACCACTGGGCCGGCCCGAGTGCTTCAAACCATTACAAATGTTTACAGGAAATCGCTCTGCTCCGCAGCCGGGCCTGCTTCTAAGACACACAGACCGTGAAATGCTGAGTGAGGTCACCTTCAGCAAGCTGCTTCTTCTTTGGGTTGTAAAAACAGTTTTCAGGATCAACCTGAGATTTGGTCTCAAATGACTTCAAGGATATCTTGTGTCATTATCCTGTCCTTCCTCTACTTGCGGGCTGGTGCTAAACCCTCCCACAACACTGTGCTATCTTGTGTTCGTGTTTTTGCTGTTTGTTTTGCTTTTCTTTTCTTTTTTTAATATGAAGTCTTGCATGAACCAGGATGGTCTTGAACTCATTATGTAGCCAAGTTGGTCTCAAACTTGTAATCCCCCCTGCTTCAGCCTCCCTAGTACTTGAATTATAGGGGTATACCAATATGTCAGATCTTTCTTATTTAAAAGAAGGAAAATCTATAGAATCAAACTTTTTCTGATAAACTCATGTCTCCCTGATTGTCCAGATACAGGTTGCATATGACATCACAGTGGAGACTACTTACTATTGGCCTTTGTTATCCTGTATACAGTCCATTTCAGTATAACATTCAGCTCAAACCAATGCAGAGTCAAAGTTCTATCAAATGGTATGCAAACTTCTCCTGCCATTCATACATACAGATATGCATTCACTTATTCAGAAAGACGTGAAAATACCAAATGGAGGCAGGAAGGCATGGGAGGCTCTAGGATCTAAGCCTGAAATACTCTGGTCCTTGACAGGGACAGGAAGAACCCCCAATGAAAGGAGGGTCCGCAGAACTGAAAAGGGACATTCTATGATATTTCAAAGAATATGAAATCTTTTCTGAGGTGAGATTTCTGGCACTCAAACGTTTAAAAGGTAGCCACAATAACGTCGTAGAGTACACAGATACACGTCACCTAGGTGAAAGCCCTGGGGGACACAAAAAGAATAACAGTGTTGGAACCAAACCAGAGAGAGAAGAGACTGGCAATTAACTCCTGCTACTTTTGCAAGTGAGCTCATCCTAGGATGTTCTCTTTTTGTGGCTGAACCCAACTAGCTGAAATCTTCCCAATTACAGAGGTGGAAATAATCCTTGAGATGAAATGACTGGCCCAAGGACAGTGGCTATCCCAGGGCTCTCTGTCCCCTGGGCGGCATCTCTCTTCTTCTAAGTTCTGGCTGGGTCTTTCCAAAGATAGTCTTCAGCGCTGATGCAAAGCCAAAATGAAGGCAGAACACAGGTGTTTTCCAGGCTCTATTTTCTTCCCTTCCTCATCTCTAACCAGAACCTTTCCACATTCCGTCCACAATCACAGTCTGCTAGTTTTCTTGCTCCCAGCTCCTCCATCAACATATGTCATCTCCGTTTCCTGGTCCCCTAGAGTCCCAGTCTCTCAGTAATCTTCACCCACAAATTCATTCATTCAGCTCCACGCAGAGGTCACTGTGCCGGTTCTATTCCCCTTCAACTGAAGGTAGACACCAGCAACTTCAGGTCTCTCAGGATTTGGGGATGAGGAGAAAGGTCTTGGTTCCTGCCATAGAATCTGAAGACATTGCTCAGTAGAGCGACTATAGTCATGCCTTAGAATCTCGTAATGACTCGCCAAAAATTACACGGTTTAAAACCATGGAAACACGTTGATATTACAGTTCTGGAAGTCAGAAGCCTACCATCAAAGGGTCAGTGGCTCACATTACGTTTCTAAGGGCAGTGGCCATTTCAGAAGAGGCAACGGACTGAGTGGGAGAAGTGCTAGCCCAAATTCCCAGAGCTCAGCTTTGCATCACCTTTCTTTGAGTAAATAAGTGCAGGACAATGCAACGTGCGCTTTCACAGAACATGCTAGAACTACCATAATCCACTGTGTAAAGAGACTCAAGTCTATGTCAGACTTGCCCACATCCCTGAAGAGTCAATAATCCATTTTAAGGTAATCTGAACCGCCAATATATGACCTTTCCCAAAGTTTTGCCAATGCAAATGTTATTGACTTAGTATTTCCTTCTTATTCAATTTATTTTTAACTCTTGTTCTTTTACAAAACACAAGCTCACATTAAAATTAAATCATAATTACCAAATGTAAAAATAGTCATAGGTCAACCTTTTTAATTCAGTCTCATATTTCCAGTAATATGGTATAGGAAACACAGGTCAGTGGACCTGGCAGAACCTTCAGCTCCCCCAAGTTCCCAGTTATGGCTCAAGCAAGATGGCTGTGACTGACACGCAGCAGTGCCCATTATAATTAAGTGACCACTGACTGCCCAGGGCCCAGACCCCAGTCTCACAGCTTCACATATATGCAATCCTACAACAGGTCCTAACACTGGCTATATAACTGGCTATGGAAGAACATAGAAAACAGGAATTTGACTGTTCAAGGTTTATGAAAGTAACTGATCTACAGGCAAATATCATTAAGAGAAGCTAAGTGAGCCTCATGTTAGTCATCACAGAGATGGGTCTAGAAGATCAGCTTGAGACCAAGTTGCAGGACGTCTTGTTCTGTTTTGGGATTCTGACCTAACCAAGGAGACATGGCTACTCATTAATGCTATTTAGATTTTGGGGTGAAATGAGACGGACCTTGCAGAGATCAGTGCCTTGCATTAGAGAGACTAAAAACAGTCAGGATTTGCTGGCAGCGGCACTAAGAAGCAAAGGCAACAGAGGTGAACCCTGTAGGTGACTTTGGTTTTGCTAACTAAAGTGATGTCATGCATGGATATGAAATAATAGGGCAGAGAAGGGACTTAAGGATTTACCAAAGGAATCCAGCTATGCTACATTGCAAGTAGAAATACCTTGGAGAGCCTTGACAAGGAGGCCGCAGGCAGCTGGAAATAAGATAGGAACTCAGAGGAAAGAGCTCAGCTGGGGGATTGGTCTGGAGCTCATCAGCAAAGAGCAGAGGCCATCTGAACAGAGGATCACAACCAAAAAGGCCAACTGGAAACAGGTTAGAGGGCAGGGAAAAGAAGGGCCAGGCAGTGGGGAGAAACTAACGGGAAGCTAGGGTAAAGTAGTTACAGGGTTTGCAGCTTAGAAGGATGTGTGCAGGAACCAATGCAATTGCCTTCCTCAGTTTCTTCATCTACCATTATAACCTTGGACTAGATGGCTTCAGAAGTGCCTCATGGAGCTCACAACTGCTGAATGTGGTTGCGGGACCCTAGCATACTCTATGATTGGTGAGCGTCCCTAGCAGAGTGGCATGGACCCAAGCCCGCTGTGGATGTGAGGCAGTGCCAGGTCCTTGGGCATTTATATTGCGCTTTGTCTGTGGTATACAATTGTTGCTGTATTTCTTTGGGTTCTCCCTTCTCATTCTCACCTACCTTTGAACTACATGACACCGGAACTAAAGGTATCAAAGTCTTTTGTGCATGTGCACACACACACAAAACACACACATGAGTTTGTGGATAAGATCAATATTCTGTCAATTTGGGCTTCAGTCTTGTCTATTCAGATAGATAAGAGGATAAGGAACAAACCATACCCTTTATTAGGTTTCTTTTAAAAACTAACTTTATTGAGATAGAATTTATAAACCATTGAAAATATACAGCCCAGTGTTGTCTTAGTTAGGGTTTCTATTGATGTAAAGGGTGTCTATTACCATGACCACGGCATCTCTTACAAAGGAAAACATTTAATTGGGTGGCTTACAGTTCAGAGGTTCAGTCCATTATCATCATGGTGGGACATGGCAGCATGCAGGTAGACATGGTGCTGGGGAAGGAGATGAGAGTTCTTCATCTTGATATGCAGGTAACAGGAGGTAGTTTGTCTCACTGGGTATAGCTTGAGCATAGGAGACCTCAAAGCCCACCCCCACAGTGACATACTTCCTCCAATAAAGTCACACCTCCTCCAGCAAAGCCCCACCTCCCATTAGTGGCACTCCCTCTGGGAGCCATTTTCTTTCAAACCGATACAAGTATTTTCCTGCATTTATAAATATATGTAGCCCAACCATAGTTAATTGATTTTAGACGAGATTGGGTATGTCCAGGATGGTATGGCCATAGATAACTGATTGATTTTTAGAATACTTTCATCTTTTCATATACCCTGTCCTCTCTTTCAATCCCTAACCCACTTTCTGCCTCTACGAAATCCTTTATTCTAGGTTTTCACATGAATAGAATCCTACAATTTGTGGTCTATTGTGATTGGTCCCTTTCACTGAGTCTAACATTTCCAGGGTTCATTCATATTTTTCTGTGCTCTAGTCCTTCTTGAGACCCAGTAGCACTCTACTGTATGGTAACCCATATTTTGTTCAGCCATTTGTCTCCTGATGAACTTTGGGAGCCTTCTACCTTCAGGCCGATTTTGACCAATGCTCCTGCTCAGAGTTAGTGCAGATGTTTTTCCATTCCCCTGGGAATTAAGTTTGGGAACGTGCCATAGACATTTCTCTTTCTAACCATGCCTCTTACTGCACTGCACACCGGGGAGGTCTCCAGGGATATTTGTCTGAGTGGAAAGAATAAGGTTTTCAGGATCATCTAGCCCCGTTTTAGACCCTGGCCCTTTCTAAGTCGGAGTCATGGCTTCTTCGATGACAGCAGCATTCATCACATTTCGTGATCACTGAGACTTTGTTTCTGTCTCCTGCACTTCAGGAACGGATGAGGCGGCCATCATCGAGGTCTTATCCATCAGGACATCGGAGCAGAGGCAACAGATAAAGCAGAAGTACAAGATGAAGTACGGCAAGGTATGCAGGGTTGAGCCAGTTCAGCCTCCTCTGGAGGGACAACGTGGCTAGAGTTAGAATCCAGTCTGAGAAAAATGCATTTGGAACTTTTAATTGGCTAGACAAAGGACTGACATTGCTAGGCCAACTTAATGCCTATAAATCAATACCCTTAAGTCATTGGGTTTTTTGTTTTTGTTTTTGATGTTTTGTTTTCTTTAGTTTGGATTGGTTTTACGAGACAGGGTTTCTCTGTAGCTTTAGAGCCTGTCCTGGAACTAACTCTCTTTTCTTTTTCTTTTTTTTTTTTTTTTCTTTCGAGACAGGGTTTCTCTGTGGCTTTGGAGCCTGGCCTGGAACTAGCTCTGTAGACCAGGCTGGTCTCGAACTCACAGGGATCGCCTGCCTCTGCCTCCCAAGTGCTGGGATTAAAGGCGTGCACCACCACTGCCAGGCAACTCATTGTTTTCTTAATTGACTTCATTTTTCTATTACATTTACTCATTTTTCATTCAATTTGGACTACTTCCACACAATAATTCATAAGCAGGAGAGTGATTTGAAAACCAGTCCCCACAAGTGGGGCTTAATATAGAAATATTCTTATACTCAGATGTCTTTGAGTATATTCATATTTCTTCATAAATTATTGGCTCAGAAAACTAAAATTCTTTCTTTTATTTTTGAGATGATATAATTATATCATTTCCCTCCTCCCTTTATTCCCTCCAAATTCTTCCATATAACCCTCATTGCTCTCTTTCAAATTCATGGCCTCTTTTTTCATTGTTGTTCCATACATACATACGTACATACATACATACACACACATATATCTTTATACATGCATATACATATATATTCTTAAATATACAATGCAACCTGTTCAGTCTGTATAATGTTGCTTGTATGTATGTTTCCAGGGTTGACTATCTGGTATTGGATAGCCAATTGATAAACTCTTCCCTGTGGAGGAGAATTTCTCCCCCTACCAGCTTTCCTCAGTTGCCTGTGGAGTTAAGGGCCCGTGGTGCCTCCTCCCCCACCTCTGTCCACTTTGGCATGTCTATTGCTCTTGTCCCTGTTTAGCTTGTGTTTGGGCAGCCATGTTGATGAGACTCTATGGGTGTAGCTTCTGATATTCCTAGGAGACCCAATCTCACAGCGAACTCCTGGATTCTCTGGCTCTTACATCTTTCTTTCCCTGAGCCTTAGGGGCAAGAGTTGTATTGTAGATGTATGCTTTGGGGCTGGGCTCCACAATTTAGCATTCTGATTGGTCGTGGCTTTCAGTACAGAAAACTTTTTGGGAGCTCTCAGTTTCCTTAACTTTTAGCATTTACTTCTTTCTCCCTTTTCCTTTTATTCTTCTTGCTGTTGTTGATGTTGTTATATAATCTTCAAGCGTTCATTAGGTTTAGTTACTAATTTGTCAACATATAAAGAACCAGGACCCATGCCCAAGTCTTCAGTCAGCGAGGCCAGTGTCTATTCCCAGAAAGACTGGTGCCATAATGGGGCTATTTATTTATATAACAAATGGTCAAAGGCTGTGCTGTTGCAGGTGTTGTTGTTTGCATCTCTCTTAATAATCCGGCTTGTTGATGTCACTTTTTATGAAAATGAGTGAGTCTCCAGTTCACCTCATTGGGTAGGAGTGGAATTTTCATCCTTTCCTCCGTGCCTGACTCTAAACAGACATCCTCCAACTTACTTCTATTTTTAGCCCATTAAAATAGAAAGTCAGACACCTTGAACTCTTGTCCAACACAAAAGTAAACATGGGTCTAGGGACTCGGCTGAGAAATAAGAGAGCATGTTCTAGCACAAAAGCTGGGAGACTGTCTGTGCCAAGCATTTGATGATCCCCTGAGAGAGCTGAGACCACCAAAGAGATGCTTAAAACTTCAGAGGAGGTCAAACACTCATCCCTAAATCCTCACACCCACTGAGCCCCGAGAATAGTGACACCAGGGAACCATGGGCAGTTATTAGAGAAGCTGGGACAAGCATCCGAGCTTCCTGAAGCCTGCTTCTTAGGCATGGAAGCATATAAAATACCAGCTGGGCTTTCATGCCTGTGGGTCAAAAGACAGAGGAGCTGCGGCCTCTCTGCAGTCCTAAGCATTATCTATCTGAGCTGGGAAAATGTATTTCAGATATCTTAGTGCCTGGTCTTGGGTCTTGAGGCAGGCTTGCCTTCACAAGATGCAGCGGTAGGTGAAGTGACAGTAAGGACAGAGGCATGATACCGCAGTCCCCTTCGAACACAGCCGATCCCCTTGTATAAAAGTTTCCAGCTTTTCCTCCCTAACCTGGAGCTCAGAGGTATAATCAGAGAAACAGCTGATTTGTGTTTTCTCAGAAAATTCTTTTCTGGATGTATTAATAATATTCTTGCATAATATATATTACCACGAATACTTTTTGACCGTTGGATGTGGGCACAATGCAGAGTTTTTCCATGGATTCTGACTCCCCCGTGACCCTATGGCATAAGTCTTGCTACTCTCGCATATAAAAACACTGACCAGTGGTGGAAACTGTTGAGTCTTTTCTAGCTGAATGTTTGGGGCAAATTCTTCATTTTTCTGCGGTCTATTGGGTGGAGATAACGCAGTTCGTCTGCCAGCTTTGCAGGCCTATGTGGAACTTCGCTGAGAGAAGCTCTCAGAACTCTAAAATGCTCTGTAAATATCCTTGCTGTTGTAATTCGTCTTGGGGCGGGCACCTCAGCCCTGAGCAAGATGCCTCTCAGCCAGATTGAGGGGCAGGGGAGGGAGGAATGGGTAATTGCGGTGACCGCTGTCCTCAAGATCAAGCGGTTCTTGCGGTCTAGAGCAGGTGTCCTGGCCCTGAAACTCATCTAGTGATGTAGGCAGACGCTCACCTCCTCTTCCCACGACACCGCAGTCATCAGCTCTGTGCTCCCTGCAGGACCTAGAGGACGTGCTCAAGAGCGAACTGAGTGGAAACTTCGAGAAGACAGCCTTGGCCCTTCTGGACCGCCCCAGTGAATATGCCGCTCGGCAGCTGCAGAAAGCCATGAAGGGCGTGGGCACCGATGAGACTGTGCTCATAGAAATCCTCTGCACAAGAAGCAATAAGGTCAGTCTCCCTCGAGCTCTCGGTCCCACCTCCTGCGGGACAGGTCACTCAAGCGTCAGAGATGGCTGAGCCCCCTTGGAGGAAGCTCATCCCCCTACATGGTGTCCATAAATGGACAATAAGCAGAAATACATCTGCTAAGCTCAAGCGGGTGTTGAAAACAAAGGGGAGGGAGCTGCGTAAACAAAAACGACAGCCCTACCACCTGGCCTGCCCTCCCTCCCCCATCACAGCCCACACCTGCTCCTGTCTGACTTTCCTTTCCACTCCCTTATGAGCCAGGTACCGGGAAATGATTGCTCTTACTCACTGCTGGCTGGAGCGTAAGTTGAGACCACTCTGAGGCTTGACTTGACAGGGATGATGTCAAAGGATTGCTGCCAGCAATCTAGAGGGAAGCTTGCACTGCTGACCCTGCCCGCTGTTTAAAACAGAGGCAAACTGGAAACCACCTAAGAGGCCACCCGTGGGAGGCTAGCTAAGTCAACTGGGGCGTCTCCTAGCACGGGACACTTTCTGTCTCTCCCAGAAAAACATGGACGATCTGCGTTAGAGGCTAGCTGGACCTCCAGGACAGCATGGAACTAGAAACAAGCCACAAAACAATCAGCACTGTTTTCCACTGGCTAAAATATGATGGATACAAAATAATTCTAGAAATTCTGTTGCTAAGGTTTCTTTCCTCGGGGAGATGGGAACAATGTCTTCCTCTAAGGTCCCAGTGACAAACCAAAGTATGATTCTACAAAATTGGCTCTGGGGAACCAGTGAGTTTATTAGGCTTAAGTATAGAGCAGAGAGGGAGGAGTTACAGGCAAGAGTGTGGGTAGCATTAAAACAGCCACACTGGAAGGTCTGCACCCAGGGTGTATGCCCATTCCTCTATGACTGCATAGACGAGGCTCCCTTCCCTGGTCCCTCTCGGCCTATATACCTCTTGCTCCTCCTTGATGTCACCATTACAATTAGGGAAGAATTCCATAGAACTGGTTGGAAGGACTGGCTGTATGTTTAGGTAAGGGCTCCATGATCCTCTACACCCCTTCTCCCATGAGGGAAGGTCAGTAGTCAACAAGCCAGGCTGTGATGGTCTTCTGCAAGTGGGCATAACTGAACCTACAAAGATGGTTGACATTTGGCTTGGAGGATAGTACAGTAAGCATAGATACAAGTATGCAAGACAGAGATAGGAACCTGTGAAATACACACTAGACTCTAGCCTTGATTGTACGGGTGGGGATGAGGGAATGAGCCTGGGTTAGGAGATAGGGAATGGTATTAGCTTAGCTGTAATACTTCTGCCTTCCTAGTAGTAACTGGCATGCCGTCCGTGTAGCTATGTTTGGGCTAAGGTGCAATAGTTTGATACATATAGACAAAGTATCATGGCCAAGTTTGAATAGCCAGTGGAAACCTGGTTATTCAGTGAATACCTTAAGTATCTATCATCCATTTATGGTAAGAACATTCAAGGTCCTCTCCTCTAGCCGTGTTGTTAGTTATATAGTTGTTAGTTATATCTAGCCGTTATATATATATATTATATAACTATAAGATATATTCTTGTTAACTCCAATTGTCCTACTGTGCCCACTGGAACAACTCATTCCTGTCTCATGGGTACCAGTTACTTTTCTGTTGTAATAAAAACCAAGAGTAGCTCAGAGCAGGAAGGGGTTATTGTGATCTATGGTTCCAGGGGGTAAAGCCTGTCTCGGCAGGAAGGCATGGCAGCACAAACAGGAAGCTGAGAGATCACATCTTCAACTGCAAACACGAAGCCGTACAGCATGAGGCTATAAACTCTCAAAGCCCCCTCCCAGTGACATACTTCTTCCAGCAAGGCTGTACCTTCCCATAGCCTTCACAAACAAAGCCAGCAACTGTGTAAATGCCTGAGTTATGGGGGACATTTCTCATTCAAACCACCATATGCTATAACTTAGCACCATGGACCCCCATCTCTCTGACCTTTGGTAACCACCATTCTGCTTTCCCTACCTATGAGGTTATCTTTTTCATACCCCATAAATGAGTGATTTCATGGGATGTATGACTTTTTGTGTCTGGATTATTTCATTCCATGTACTCCAGAATCAACCATGTTGTCACAGATGACAGAATTTCTTTCTTTTCATGGACAGATGTTATATTGTCTTCATTTGTCTGGTGACAGATCCCCCAAGTTGACTCCATGTCTAAGCAGACTGTATGCATACACTACTTATATGTTTGAAATGTTTACACAGAAAGTGTCGTTTTACCCTGGCAGATTCCCCATGGGCCTGTGCCCTGCTCTGTAGGGACAACCATCTCAGTAGGAAGTCTCAAAGGCCCCCTGTATCAGGAGATGGGCATCTGCCTTATCTCTGTTTCCTACTGGCTCCAAGCTTGGACACTAATTGTTTCTATCATCTTCCTAGGAAATCATTGCCATCAAAGAAGCCTACCAAAGGTGTAAGTAACATTTGTTCTGGCTTCGGATTAAGTTTTGTTTGTTGGGTTGGTTTGTTTTGTTTATAAAGTTGCTGGTAACTCAGTCATCCACTTTCCCCTTTCCCTTTTTCTTCCTCAAAAGTGTTTGACAAGAACCTTGAATCTGATGTCAAAGGCGATACAAGCGGAACTCTCAGAAAGATTCTGGTGTCCTTGCTGCAGGTAAAGATAAATAGAATGGGTCTTTAAGATCTTCTGCACCATAGGCCCCGGAGGCTCCAGACAGACGTCATCCAGTTCTCACTGACAGATCTCTGTCCACTCTCCACATTTCACTGCTCCCACTTACACGGCACAGTGACAGCAGAGAACACAGCGACTGTGTAGATTTCAAGCACAGAAGGAAGAGCAGACAGTTGCCTTATGGTTCGGTACCCCAAACATCACAGCTCAATGCATCATGGCCCATTATCCCCCAAGGCCCATTGGCCAAGGTCCGGATATCTGTTAGCAAACAGCTTCACGGGTAATCTCACCAGAGGAAAATCAACATGTCAGCCACCCAAGGCTCAGGGAGAATTCACCTCCTTGGAGCCCATGGTCTAATGTGACTGTTTCCTTTCTGGCTATCACCCAGAGGCCATTAGGAGTTCCTGGACTCTCTCCAGACTCCTGCTACATGCCCCTCCACCCCTGCCACCAGCTTATAGCGCAGCTGCCTGCTTTCTCCAAAGCCAGCAGCAAGAGTTCTTCTTTAAGAACACTCATCTGGTTAGGCCAGGGGTCATCCAGGATAATTTCCCTTTGGATTCATTTGCCTGATGAGAGATCTGGATTATACCAGCAAACCCCTGCCATGCTATCTGACATGATGTCACTATCTGACATGATGTCATCATGAGATACCATCCCATTTGCTTTACTGCTCCATCCATACCCAAGGAAAGGTCACTGGGGTCATTTTAGCACTCTGCTATTTACCAATGTCTTTAGACATCCATAGTCTCCCATGACCAACTTTCAGAGTTCTTTAACACTGACCACCGAATGATGGCATTTGGTATCTGTGGAAGGAGGATGCTTGCTTCCTAGTGGATACGAGGTTACTATTAGCTTTCACTGAAGACTGTGGATTTGGTGAGTGACCATTGGGTATAAGAGAGGAGAGAAAGAAGAGAGGGGGGGTTGAGAGAAAGAGAAAGAAGAGAGAGACAGAGAAGAGAGAAGAGAGAGAAGAAAGAGAGAGAAGAGAGAGAGGAGAAGGGGATATAT